CTTCATCCTCCTCAGAGCCTTCCTCACCTCATCCTTTCTAATCTTTGCTACTTCCTGCTCTACAATATTCACCTCTTCCCCCCTTCTTTCCCTCTCATTTTCCTCATTCATCAGTTCCTCAAAATATTCCTTCCATCTTCTCTGCACACTCTCCTCACGTGTTAGCACCTTTCCATCTCTGTCTTTAATCGCCCTTATCTGTTGGTCTTCTTTTCTGTCTTTCCTCTCCTCTTCTTCCTGACCACCAGAGTCATCCTACACACCACCATCCGATGTTGTCTGGCTACACTTTCTCCTCCCACCACTTTGCAGTCACTAATCTCTCTCAGATTGTCTTGTCTACATAGAATGTAGTCTACCTGCATACTCCTGCCTCCACTCTTACATGTAACACTATGTTCCTCCCTCTTCTGGAAATAGGTGTTAACTACAGCCATTTCCATGCTCTTAGCAAAGTCCACCACCATCTGTCCTTCTAGGTTCCTTCTTTTAACACCAAACCTGCCCATCAGCCTTGTTTCCCCTCACCAACGTGCCTGTTGAAGTCTGCCCCAATCACCACTCTCTCCCCTCTGGGAATACTCTCCATCACCTCATCTAACTCACTCCAGAATCTCTCCTTCTCTTCTAACTCACACCCTGCTTGTGGAGCATAACAACTGATTACATTCAACATTACCCCTTCAATTTCCAGCTTGAAACTGATCACCCTGTCTGACACTCTTTTCACCTCTAAAACATAGCTCACAAGCTCCTCCTTCAGGATCACTCCTACCCCATTTCTCTTCCTGTCCACACCATAATAAAACAGTTTGTATCCCCTTCCAATGCTACGCGCTTTGCTACCCTTCCACCTGGTCTCCTGCACACACAGTATATCTACCTTCCTTCTCTCCATTATGTCCACCAGCTCTCTACCTTTCCCTGTCATTGTGCCAATGTTAAGAGTCCCTATTCTCAGACCTATACTCCTGCCTTTCCTCTTCTCTCTCTGTCTACAAATCCTTCTACCTCCTCTCCTTCAACCAACAGTAGTCCGATTTCCGCCAGAACCCTGTAGGTCAACAGCACTGGTGGCAGTCGTTGTTAACCCGGGCCTTGACCGATCCGGTATGGAATTTGCACTAATGATTCGCATGTTTAAATTTGGCATGTTTTTACGCCAGATACCCTT